CTGTTAGACCTAGCGTAGTTCTATATAGTAATGCCTGCAGGTATTCTTTCTTACTGATATGCTGTGCAAGTTGTTTGTAAGAGCAAAGGACTTAAAGAAGAGTAGTTTATTTCCCTGAAATGAAACTGGTGATAATAGAAAGAGAGGTGTAGGTATCATTATATAAAGCACCTCAATATCAACTTTCTGGCTAAATGTTTAAATAGCTTTCCAATACTGGTGACAATATTATGTTCTGAGTAAATCTTTTTTTAAACAAGTGTGCATGTGTACACACATGTTGAGGGTTTTTTCTTGCAAATAATTATATTGGCTTAGCTATAAGATATCCTGTTGCGAAGGTTAGAGGTTGGTGTGTCCCTGTTTTGGAATTAAAGGAGGCTGATTTATGACTTGTCCAGATATCACAGCGGATGTGTCTCTATGTAAGGTATCAATCATATTTCCAGTGGAGAGAACCTCAAAGTGACTCTTAACTTGGTTTAGGTGGCTGTTTTTTTGGTTTGTTTTTGTTTTTTTCTTTTTTAAAGAAAAAGTCACTGTAAGCAAACTACATGCATTGTCATCTTTCCAGTATACAAGGCGTAGTCACAAAGGAGCAGTGTATAGGGAAAGCTGCAGAAAGCATCCCTATTCAGAATAAAAAGTCTGTACCTGCCTGTGCGCTGGTAAGGACAGTATAAATGTCTTTGGCCTTGGATTGTAAGTTTCTGAAGAAGTATGCTGGCTAACAAGATCGGACCTGAGAGCTCAGGGGGAATATTTGGTTAGAATTCAGGTACTGGCTTTTGCATGCTATTAGCTACATCATTTTGGTAGGTTTTGGTGCCTTCTGGTGAATTAGGGAAAATTGTTACTTGATGGTAATACTGGCTGTGTCTTACCAGCAGGTGTCACTGAAGTCTTCAGAAAACAAATGAGGTGTTAAAATGAACACAAATCAGTCTTATGACTACAGTATTTCTTTAGGTTTTGGTTGCCTTCTGAGTACTTTTGTAATGTATTTAGATATAAAATAATGCTTAAGTTCTTGAGTAATAGAAACCTCATTTTTGACTCATAGCCCAATACAACACATTAGTACTAAGGCTAACTGGAAAAACTGAGCTTGTCTAGATATCGGAGCAGTAGCTGTGTCTTCATAAATGGACTCTATATTAATTCCAGTAGAGAGGAATTTCAAAATGCCATTGACTGCGGAGAGTTTTTTTCCAAGTGGTTTTATTCTCTTTCATGTTTAACGTATTATTATGACTATATATGTTACCTGTGAATAAGTGGCACTTCAAAAAATCCCAGTTAGCGGCCTTCTCTCCAGTGGCTCAGAGTTATGATTTCCAGTAATAGATCATGTGTAATAATAAAATGGTTGCTTTCAGCTGCATTGTCTTGTCAGAATGTCAGAATCGTGTGGTGCATTTGCCATCTCAGATTCAGTTGTTGTGTTCTCTTCCGACTGATTTCTGAGAATGGGCTGCTCCAGACCCAGTCTGGTGATTGCGGAGACTGCTAACGTCCCTTCTGAGGTATTAGGATTAGCTGTCCAGATAACTGACACAGTTTTATCAGACTTTTCCCTGGAAAAATGGTATTTGGAAACATCACTGTCTGTGTGTAGCATTTGACTTCTCACTTAAGCCTATTATAGCACAATGCCTGCTTGTTATCTGTTAGATATTAGTAGAAAATATAATTATGGAGTATGTTCTAGAGCAAGGATACTTAACCTCTGGCTTGTGGGCCAAAAGTGGCCTGTGGAGCCTTGGAATCTGGCACGCGGGACTCCCCATTGACTGGGAAATTTGGTGACAGGAGGACAGTGGCAGTTAATACTGCCATCCATTCCTGATGCCCAAATTCCAAGTCTTGCAGGGCTGGGTGGAGGTGGGCCATGATCCTTCCCCTGCACGGCCAGATTGGAGCCAGGCTATGCTCCTTTCCCTCTGCAAAGCTGGCTTGGAGCTGGGCTGCACCCACTCCTCCCCATGAGGCTGGGCCATGCCCCCTCCCCCCTCCCTGCAGGGCTGGGCCATACTATGCCCCCTTCCCTCTTCCCAGCCAGGTTAGAACTGGGCCACACCCAGCAACATGGCTGGTTCAGTGCCAGGCTGTGCTTCCACACTCCACATGGGGCTGGCCCATGCCTAGGCTGGCCGTAGGGAGATCCTGGACAACTGGGACTTCCAGGCCCGCCTGCTGCTAGCAAGCTGGGTTGCATCACTCCATGCCATTTCTGGTATGCACAGTATAATTATCCTCAGCCAGTGAGGACTGGCTTCTTAAATCCGGGACTGTCCTGGCTAAGCTGGGACAGATGGTCACTCTACACATGCCCCCCTTTCTTGCACATGGCCAGGTTGGGGCTAGGCCATGCCTCCTTTCTCCCATGGAGCTGGGCCATGCCCCTTCCTTCTGCAGAGCTAGATTGGGGCTGGTCTCTCTTCCCCCCCAATACAGCCAGATGAGGCCCTGTTAGATCTAGCCCAAAGAGGGATTGTGCACTGTCCATCTGGCCAAAACGTTTGAGCACCACTGTTCTAGAATAATTAACTTAATTGTCAAATTAGTATGCTTCAGTCATGTTATCCAATAAATAATGACCTCTGATTTGAGGATGTTTGTGCCCACTTGCAAAATGTCTTGATTTGAAGGGGAGGAAAGTGGGTGAAGATTCTGTGGAGCTTACCTGACAGCAGGATGGTTTGCTGACTTTTCTACAGGTTACATGTGCATTACTGTTGATTATATTTTCTGCCAGGGGAGAGCCAAAGACGTGGTATGGGGTGCCCTCTCACGCAGCAGAACAGCTAGAGGAGGTGATGAAAGAGTTGGCCCCTGAGCTCTTTGAATCTCAGCCTGATCTCCTGCATCAGCTGGTCACCATCATGAACCCCAATGTGCTAATGGAGCATGGTGTGCCTGTGAGTAGGACAGGAGAACTTTCTCCATATATATTCTACATACACAGTTTTATGACTGAATTGTCTAATAATGGTTTGGAATGGAACTTAAGAACTCAGCTGGAGAGTACGCACTGCCCTAGCTCATTTAGAGCACAACTTGCCAACCTGTGACACTCATGCCATAAGTGGCGTAGCCTGTGGCAGAATGCCACCTCTGTCTCTCCCCAAAAACTGTTATGTGACAATTTGGTTAATATGGTCCCTGCAGAGGGCAGACATCCCTCTCTCAGGTGACACTGAGTTGTAACCTGAGTTTGATACATTCCTGAGAGATGGGGGAAGCCTGCTTCCTCTGCCTACGTGACTGGCATTGCATACCTGGATGAGGGGCTTGCACTCCCTATTGTTTTAAGCAACGCTGAGCTGACTGGGAGGGCTCTAGAGACCTTGCCAGGCTACCTGGCATCCAGTGATGTATTTCAAATTGGTTGACTGGCAGCCAATGTGTGCTAGTCTCCATTGGACCAGGTAAATGAGGTCATAAGATCTATATAAGTTAAGGACTGCCCAGGAGGAGGAGCAGTAGCCATGATGAAAACTGAGACACAGACAGAGAGAGACAGACAGACAGACAGACACAGAGAGAGAGAGAGAGAGAAAAGCTGGACCATCTGAAACTTGCTATCTCTCTTGAAACTCATGATCAACGAACTGCCTGCCTCCAGAGGGAATCTCCCCCTGCCTCTGGATGATACTCATGAGTAAGCTACCTGAGATCTAACTAGATATATAGCTTGCAGTAACTCATGCATGATCAAAGGCTACCCATCCATGCCAGTTTGCTCTATGGGATTTCTCTGATATTGCTTTACCCTGTACCCTATTCCAAATCTATTCCTTGTAACCAGTAACGTTCTCCTTTTTTACCTAGTGTGGGAGACTTACTGGGAGTGGGTCTAGATTATGCCTTGGGGTCCTCTTGGTTCGGCTGACTAAGGGAGACCACTATTTGTGCTTCAGGCTGAGGGAAGCCTTCCAAGTTCTTGAAGTGGGTTGAGTACCCTCAAGGGCTACTAGGCCTGTGTTTCCCAGGGGGCACAGAGCAAGGATCAGTCCAGACCCTGGGTGGTGGGAGCATTACCCCCAGGCTAGCGGGTGTGCTCCAGGAAGGGGGTCGGCCAGAACTGAGACGCCCCCAGGGAGGCACTCGGAGCCTGGAAGGTGGTTGGGTGCAGTGAGGTGGGTGGCTCAGCACAGGAGCACCCCCTACTGGCCTGCCACATTAGGTAGCCTTCGTGCATATGGTAAATTGGGAAGGGAATAGACAGTACAGCAATAGATAGGGCAGAAGCAGAAAGAGCAGCAGATTGGGCAGAGGAAGGAGATCAGGGACAGTGCAGGACTAGTTTGTGGCATGCCTGCCAAAAAAGCTTGGCTCATCCTGGATTACCTAAGGAAGAGGGAATTCAGCATTGGAGAAGTTTTGTGTCCACATGCCTGTGCCTTTGTGGGATAGTGATGGAAGGTTCTTTGGCGTGTACTTTGGGGACACCCCAGACAGGAAGTAGCGTTCTGATTGAAGACTTAGTGTGAAGCAATGAGTACATGGTAGATACAGTAGAGTTCATTTTTGGCAGCTAAACCTCTTTCTAAAAAAGCCCCCCAAACCCTTTAAATGAAAGAAAATACTATCTTGTACAAATACAGCTTGTTCTATTTAAGTGCATTGCCTTGGGCCCAAGAAAAGGCTCTGCAGTTACTGGAGGTATCTATTTATCTAGAGGAGCACTGATACATCAGTCCATATTGTATTGGCACCGATAAAAGGAAAATTGACATTATTGGCAGGTGGCTTTTTTTGGCTGATGTGGCTGGTAATGTCGCCAATAAATGCTGCATGCACATGCGTAGCCGCAGCATGCACATAGCCAGAAATGCAGCCTAGCAGCTTGGAGAGCGGCATCCAGCTGGTAAGTCTGTGGTGGGGAAAGGGGCTTGGGGGAGGGATGGAGCATGAGGGTTGCAGATCAAGGCTCCCGTGGTAAATGAGGGAGTGGGGCTGTGGCAGGGGCAGGGCTTCACAGCCAGGGTGGCAAAACGTGAGATGGAGCTGTAGGTGGCTCATCCAGGAGCAGTGGGGGAAAGAGGCAGGGCAGGGCGCAGCTCGCCACTGCGCATACCTCTGGGGAAGAAGGGGGGCACGTGCCCCTGGATCTGTGCACAGGGCAAGGGTGGGCTGCCTACTGTGGGCTTGGGGCCAGGGCTGCGCCAGCCTTTTCCCGGCCGGGATGGGGCTGGGCTGGGTCGTCACTTGGGGCAGGTAGCAGCGCTGGGAGGAGGAGCTACAGTGAATTTTGGGGTGGCTGTAGCCCACCATATAGCCCCCCGCCCAGTACCACTGCCCAGCCCTGCCCAAGTGCAGCCCCAGCCCAGCCCTTCTGCTGGGAAGAGGCTGGCACAGCTCCGACCCTGAATGGGCAGCCTGCCCTCGCCCTATGTACAGATGCCTCACCTGGGGTGCGCGCAGTGGCGGGAGCTGTGCTCCCCTACATCCCCTGGACAAGCTGTCTGCGACTCTACCCTGCCCTGCCCCAGCTGTGCAGTGCCTGCCCCAGCCCCACTCCCTTCCTCACCATAGGGGCCTCGATTTGGCCCCTGCCACATTCCTTCTCTTCCCCCCAACAGACTTACCAGCTGGACACTGCTCTCTAAACTGCCAGGCTGCATTTTTGGCAATCAGATCTGTATCAGCCAATATGGCTGGTCAGCAGTCGGCCATTGGTATTGGCCCAAAAAATCTTTATCAGTGCACCCCTATATTTAGCCAACTTAATGTAAACAGTGCTTATTAATTACTCACTGCTGTGTTGTTAGCAGCTTTGAAATTGACCAGGTCCTGTCAATTTTAGGGCTTTTAATAGTAGACCGCCAAATAGCCACTTCTCCTTCACCATTTATAGTTAAACAGAGTGCATTTCCATTACAAAATAGCAGTGGGGTTAAAAGATGCTATCTATGTACTTACCTGATGTGCAGATGACCAATAGGCATTTTGCTGGTAGGGAAGGAATTATGCACTTACCTGATATGCATGTAAGTGGAGTGCACTGCACTACGTATCGTATTTATTTTTGTTCCTATATTTGGTAACTATTAAAGGACCAAATATCAGAATTTAGTATGTGGTTAAATACCACTTAACCACTATATTTTGATTCCCACTGTTTGTGGGAATTGACATGCTTGATTTAGACTGGAGGTCCATCTAATTTGGTCTCTATGTCTTGTCAGTCCATGCTGCTTTATGAGAAGTAGTAAGAGCCCTGACTAGTCAGATTTGAAGTAACCTATTAAGTGTCAAATTTTTGTTAAGGAGTGGTAACATCAGAAAAAGATATTTCATATCTAATAATAAAAGATTGGCTTAAACCCTGAAGCACGAGGGCTTCAAAAGTGGTGTGCATTATGACAACACTGGAAAGTGTTCATCTATACAGATGTCAGGTTTCTCTTTGAATTGCATACAAAGCAAAAATATATAAAATGAACTAAATTAAATTAAATATATGGTGGATTTTTTCTTTCTTTTCAGCTTCCTACTTGATTTTGTTTTAGTCATTTTTGCTCTTTAAATTCTTTGCTATGAAACCCTGGGGCAGTGGTTACAATGTATTTTTTGTGTTAAAAATTTTCCCTTGAAATGAAAAAAAAAAAAAGAAAGCATTTCTATTTGTCAAAAATTTTGTAAAAGCTCATATTCATAAACTCCCCATATTTGATGAAACTGTCACTGGTGCTTAAATAACACTGTCACAGCCAGTTTTTGATAGTCTGAATTGCTTCTCTGACAGTTGTTTCAACATCGCAAAACACACTGTTTCCAGAGGCTTTTAATGTTTGTCATGTTGTGGACCAAGTTATGATCCCTTGCTGATAGTAGAAAAATGTTTCTTTTGGGATCCAGACAGGAAGAATTGCATGCTGGGACTTTCAGGTGCTGATTCATATATTCAGCCCTTTTTTATAAGGTTATCAATGAACCTCTTATTTTTAAAAGGGTAAGCACCCTTCTAATTTGTCCTAAATTAGCTAATTTCTCTAACTTCTAGAGGCAAGGTTTCATGAACATCTCTTGATAACATTTTTACCTTTGCTGCAAATCTCAGTGATTTTTTTTTCTCCTCCCTCACCTTACTTTTTGTATTCTTGTTTGTATTTAGGTGTACAGAACTAATCAATGTGCTGGCGAGTTTGTTGTGACATTTCCTCGTGCCTATCACTCCGGATTTAACCAAGGTTACAACTTCGCTGAGGCTGTGAACTTCTGCACTGCTGACTGGGTCTGTTCTGTTGCACATATCTGTCATGTCCCTGTTAGCAGCTTATTTCAAGGAAAGATTTAGTTACTTAGTTTAGATGGGTCATTATCTTGACTATTGAAGCAGTGCCTGGCATAGCTAAAGTTAGAGATTAGTCAAGGTTTTTATAACAGAAAGTTAATTTGAGGGGCTTATAATTCAATCCTTCTAGATGAAAAATTACATCTAGATGAAAAGTTAAGATTCTAGATGAAAGTTAAGTGCAGTCACCCTTTTAAGCAAGTAACTCAGCATTTGAGACTTGGGTTAGCTTTAGGGCTGCAAAGATTTTTCTTAAACTTTTTGTCCTCTCTGCTTTAATGTGGGGTAATGCTGTTGTATGGTAGAGGTTCAGTTTTGATTTTGGTGTCCTTCACTCTTCTCTTTGTGTCAATCTTTTCAGTTCTTAATTGCATACGTGCTTTTGAAGTCTTCTTCTTCACAATGCCCAAACATATCAAGAAACTGACATACGGTTTATTTCAGTAGTTTAGTGATATTGGTGAATGCTCTACCAGTGCCTATAGGGCTATATTTATAGAGTAAGAATCACATTCCCATTTTGTGCACATTCTTCCCAAGGTCAGATGACCTTAACTGTTTCCACTACAACCATTTTAATGTCTTATAAATTAAGACATAATTTAGTGGGGTTCCTGGACATTGACTGGAGATGCTCTTTCCAGGATTACAGTATTTTCTAGTCTTGTTTGCCTATACCAGTCATTCAGCTGGCAAATAGCTTTTGGAACAACTGCTGAATTCAGACTAGTAAAATGAGATTCCTTTGCTTAACCTAGAATATGGACCCACTGGGATCCAGGAATCCACTGGCCAACTCCCTTAGCTTCTTATGTATTTATTAAAATATCTGACTAGTCAGATATTTATTAAAAAGATGTATAGCTTCCTCTGGACTCTGGAAATCTGCCGTTTGATTATTGTGCTACAATTATGACTGCTGTAGTCAACTGTCTTCCTGAAGGCACTATTCTTTAGGATGTATTTTTGAGTATCTTTTCCCTACCTCTTGTTAAGGGAAGTAAAGTAGGAAACTGCTTTTTGCAGCCCTTCCCCCCACTCCACCCCAGTGATGTAATTTGGGGGTTGGCAGTCTTTCAGCAATAGCTGGCTGGATTAACACAGTTTGATCCTTAGGAGGGTTGGGCAACAGGTCAACCCCCTGTAGAAATGAATGGGTAGGGAATCTCTGGAATTCACACTGGAAGTGCATAGTGTAGCGGTTTCTTTAATTTTGGAGTTTCCCCTGCATGCCCCACCACCACCGATTGGCAGAGGGACCTTACCACAGCAGTTTTCGCCTCCCAGCCATCAGGCACAAGTGGTGAGCACAACCCCTCCGCCAGTTGGTGGTAGGGGAATGTGCAGGGGAAACTCCAAGATTAAAGAAGATGCCATGCTGTGTACTTGCGGTGCAAATTCTGGAAATCCCTATGAATAGGATTGACCTGTTCTGATTTAAAATAGCCCTTTGGTGGTCTGATCGGTTGCTTAGGTGGGACTTAAAGATTTCTGATCAGGTATCTTTCTTTCTGAGACCCTACTACCATCTTGGAATTCCCCTTGATTCTTTACTGCCCAGTTGGACCTAGCCTGCTCTCCACCCACCCAAGTCCTCAGAAGCTTCTGCCAGTCTCGGACACCACAGGCATAAATCTGACCAATTTCTTGCCCTCTGATAGGTTGCCATCTCTTGACTTAGGTGGTTCTCATCCTTTTCTAGCTTCCCATTGGGCGTCAGTGTGTGAACCATTATCGGCGGCTAAGGCGTCACTGTGTTTTCTCCCATGAGGAGCTGATCTTCAAGATGGCAGCGGATCCAGAGTGTTTGGATGTGGGACTTGCTGCCATGGTTTGCAAAGAAATGACTTTGTTGATAGAGGAGGAGACACGCCTGAGGGAATCTGTTGTACAGATGGTGAGTACCATAAATATACTCCTTCCTTTCATCCTATTTATGTGATTCGGATTTTATACGAGTTTTGTGAAAGGCAGTTTGCTTATCATTATCAAGTGTCACTTTTTTGTTAGGGAGTGTTGATGTCGGAAGAGGAGGTGTTTGAACTGGTTCCAGATGACGAGCGTCAGTGTACAGCCTGCAGAACTACATGCTTCCTTTCTGCTCTTACTTGCTCTTGTAATCCTGAGAGGCTTGTGTGCCTGTACCATCCCACAGACTTGTGTCCCTGTCCTATGCAGAAGAAGTGTCTAAGGTTTGTAAGTCTCCATCTCTCCCATACCATGTTTAATCTGTTGTATGAAGACCAGTAGTTAAATACAGCTATTGTCCAAGCCACAAACAATATCTTTAGTCATCTCATGTCCTATTTTTTGCCCCTGAAACAAAAGTCTGGGTTGATGCAGGGACTTTTTCTTATAAACCTCATGTGGTGGATTCTGAATACAAACAGTTTCCCTTGTCTTATATGAACTTATAACACTCATGTATTTTTTCCTTCTGTTTATTTCCAGGTACCGTTACCCGTTAGAGGACCTTCCTTCTCTGCTGTACGGAGTGAAAGTTAGAGCACAGTCCTATGACACTTGGGTCAGTAGAGTTACAGAGGCTCTGTCTGCCAACCTCAACCACAAGAAAGGTGAGACTTCTATTGTTCATTGTAGGTAATTGTGTAGGGAATCCCAGCCTTCATTTAGGCCGCTTGTGTAGTGAGAATGATGCTGGAGTATTGGAGTGGGTTAAGGTTGGTATTTTAAGCATATGAAAGGAGGGATGTTCTTGGTGGAAGTCAGGGAATCTAAAGTAACTGTAATGCTAGATGGGTATACTACATTGTTCATTTCACTTCAAGCATATTGGGAACTTGTTTGAGGACTAGTAAGCAGTTTTAAAGGATTTTTTTTCTGTCTATGGACTATTTATATTTTGTTATTGCAGATGTGATTGAGCTGAGAGTGATGTTGGAAGATGCTGAAGACAGGAAGTATCCAGAGAATGATCTCTTCCGTAGGCTCAGAGATGCTGTGAAAGAGGCAGAGACCTGTGCTTCGGTGGCTCAGCTACTTCTAAGCAAAAAACAAAAACACAGGTAAGGTTGAGAGTTTTCAGTTTTGTAAAAGTTAAAATATTGTTTTGTAAAGGTAAAAGTAGTTAAAAGTGAAGTTTAATACACTAATGACAGTTTAAGCATTGTGGACTAAGCACACAATGGCAGTGGGTAACAGCTTAAATCTACCAAAGGAAACATTTTTTTAAATGTTGCTTGGGTTGTAAAATCAAGTGTTTCAATTAAGAAACAACAAATGTTTAGTTCTCCACACAGGCTGAAATCTTTTTCTTGTGCGTCTATCCTGTGGAGAGAACATGATCTTGAAATTAGACTGCCACTGTGCATTCAGGCAAAGACACCAAATTATGATTACATAAGCATTCTGACATTTAATTTGTATGTGTTTGACTTTGGAACCTAAATATTAATGTAATGTAGTTTTTTCTCTGCGTAATGTTTGAGGCGGGTTTTTTTGGTTTTGTTTTGTTTTTTTAAATCTTTTAAATGAGTAGAGCCAACAGTATTTAAAATCTACCCTGCCTGAAAGACTGTTATATTTGCTGCTGATGTGCATGACCATATGGTATTTGTAATTCCATTTCTTTGTGCAGAGACATCTAGTGATGCCTGCTTTAAATTATTTTAAATACAAAGGTCTATGTGAAATGTCTCGCTCTCGGGACCAGTCTGTTCTCGTGTCAAAATTAGTTTTATCAAGTACCACTCTAGGAAATAAGATCTTCTGGCTCTTGAGACCTTGTGTTGCTTTTAGCACACTCAACCTTCTGATCATCCCTCCTTATGTGAGTTTGATCCTACAGCCTGAGCCAAGAAAGAATAATATTTTCCAGATGGTCCTTGGCATGATTTGTGTCTGAACACTGACAGAGAAGGCCAAGAGTTGTCATGTTGACTTATCAAACTTCCTTGAAACATCATCAGTACCATGAGTCTTCAGGGATTGGAAATTATCTTCCATATTAGTTGCAGTCTGTGTTCTACACTTTTTGATCCACATCACGCCTCTGTACAATTCTCATCAGTACTGCATTTTTACAAGGATGTCTGCTGGAACTCCACTAGCAGTATTATTGATCATATGCTGTTTCTGTTTGTTACACCTCGTTGGACCACTAACATTTACTTTTGCAGCTTCCATAGATGTTACTGTTTTCTTGGAATATAAGTTTTTGTTGTAGGATCTCTCCTTCTTAGTTTGTAGTTTCCAGAACTTTTGCCAGTACCAGAGGTAAACATTTCTCTGCCTATCCTTTGTAGTACTAGTAATTACTACTCATACTGTTCAATCTGAGGCCCTTCCTGTATCTATACCTTAAGAACTGGCTGCATTAGAAGAATGTTTTAATCCGCCACATCCTTTTCTCCCTGAGGAGATCTGTGCCTTTTCTGAAAGTGGTTTTCAAGAAGTTGGCATCATTCCTTGGTCTCTGCTTTTGTGGTACCATTTAACATTCCTCCTTGCATTCTGTTCAGATTTGTATCCAGCCTTTGGATTTTTCTGTTTCAAGCATCTAGTTTGAAATTTGCCTTAGAAGCACTTGGGACTTGTATTCAACTTTGGCTATACACCTGGACTTCAGAAAAGCAGACTTTGACTCCCTCAGGGAACTCATGGGCAGGATCCCCTGGGAGGCTGGTCTGAGAGGGAAAGAAGTCAAGGAGAGCTGCTTGTATTTTAAAGAAACCTTACTGAGGGCGCAAGAACAAACCATCCTGATGTGCAGGAAGAATAGCAAACGGGGCAAGTGACCAGCTTGGCTTAGCAGAGATCTCTTTGGTGAGCTTAAACACAAAAAGGAAGTTTACAAGAAGTGGAAGCTTGGACAGATACTTTGGGAGGAGTATAAGAGTATTGCTCGGTCATGCAGGGGTGAAGTCAGGAAGGCCAGAGCACAACTGGAGTTGCAGCTAGCAAGGGACATGGAGGGCAAGAAGAAGGGTTTCTACAAGTATGTTAGCAACAAGAGGAAGGTCAGGGAAAATGTGGGTCCTTTACTGAACGGGGAAAGCAACCTAGTGACAGATTATAAGGAAACGTCTAATGTCCTCAATGCCTTTTTTACCTTGATCTTCACAGGCAAGGTCAGCTCCCAGACTGCTGTACCAGGCAGCACAGTTTGGGGAGAACATGGAAGCCCTCAGTGGTGAAAGAACAGGTTAGAGACCATTTAGAAAAGCTGGATGTGTACAAGTCCATGGGGCCAGATGCAGTGCATCCAAAGTTGCTGAGGAAGTTGGCTGATGTGATTGCAGAGCCACTGGTCATTATTTTTGAAAACTCGTTGTGATTGGGGGAGGTCCCAGGCTGTTTGAAAAGGGCAAATATAGTGCCCTTCTTTAAGAAAGGAAAAAAGGAGGATTCAGGAAACTATAGACCATTCAGCCTTACCTCTCAGTCCCTAGAAAAATCATGGAGCAGATCCTCAAAGAATCCATTTCTAAGCACTTGGAGGAGAAGAATGGAATTAGGAGCAGTCAGCATGGATTCCCCAAGGACAAGCCATGTCTGACCAACCTGATTGCCTTCTATGATGCAATGACTATCCCTGTGTATGCGGGGAAAGTAGTGAATGTGATATACCTTGACTTTAGCAAGGATTTAGATACATTCTCCCACAGCATTCTTGCGAGCAAGCTGAGGAAGTATGGGTTGGATGAATGGACTGTAGTGCGGATAGAAAGCTGGCTGTATTGTTGGGCTCAACAGGTAGTAATCAGCGGCTCAATGTCTAGCTGGCAGCCGGTATCAAGTGCCCCAGGGATTGGTCTTTGTGTCGGTTTGTTCAATATCTTCATTAACTGTTTGGAAGATGGGATGGATTGTACCCTCAGCAAGTTCACGAATGACACCATGCTGGGCCGTGTAGTATAACAATGGAGGGTAGGGCTAGAATTCAGAGTGGCTCTAGACATACTGGAGGACTGGGCCGAAAGAAATCTCATGAGAGCAGGGACAAATGCACAAAGTCTTGCACTTAGGACAGAAGAATCCCATGCACCACTACAGCCTGGGGACTGACTGGCTAAGCAGCAGCCCTGTAGAAAAGGACCTGAGGGTTACAGTGGATAATAAGATGGATATGAGTCAGCAGTGTGCCCTTGTTGTCAAGAAGGCTAACAGTGTATTGGGCTGCATTAGTAGGAGCATTGCCAGCAGATCAAGGGAAGTAATTATTATGCTCTGTTCTGCACTGGTGAGGCCACATCTGGAGTACTGTGTCCAATGTTGTGTGTGTGTGTCGTCCCCCCCCCACTATAGAAAGGATGTGGACAAGTTGGAGAGAGTCCAGTGGAGAGCAATGAGAATGGTTCAGGGGCTAGGGCTTGAGGGGAGAGGCTGAGGGAACTGGGTTTATTTAGTCTGCAGAAGAGAAGTCAGAGGGGATTTGATAGGAGCCTTTAGCGACTCAAAGGGAGGTTCCAAAGAAGGTGGAGCTAGACTGTTCTCAGTGGTAACAAATGACAGAACAAGGAGCAGTGGTCTCAGGTTGCAGCAGGGGAGGTTTAGGTTGGATTTTAGGAAAAACCTTCTCACTAGGAGGGTGGTGAAGCACAAGTTACCTAGTGAGGTGGTGGAATCTCCATCCTTGGATGTTTTTAAGATCCAGCGTGTTAGAGCCCTGGCTGGAATGATCTGGTTGGGGATGGCCCTGCTTTGAATAGGGAGTTGGACTAGATGACCTCCTGAGGTCCCTTCTAACCCTAATTTTCTATGATTCTATGATCATCTGTGGTGGTTTAAATCTTCCCTCCCTATCCATCTTTTGTTAGGCTAAATTCACACATTTGCAACAATTAAAGACTGGTCTCTACCCAAACCTTGAATGATGGTGCTTTACCTGCTGTGATGGATCTTCCATTTGAACCTGATGTTTGTATTACTTCTCTACTAAAATGATTTGGTAGGCATCACTTTGTATAGATGCTGAGCAGAATTAAAATTTGGGCTGGCTGTCTCTGTATGTAGCTAGCTGACAGCAAATTTGCCAGAAGAAAGTTTAGCTTGATTAATAGAACATCAAGACTACTTAAAAGGAGAGATAGTTGTTAACACCTGTGAAGTGAGGAGTAGTCAGGCATCAAGTCAATAGACTCCCTCAACTGCCTGAATAGAAATGCCACTGCTGCTGCAGGGCAATTGGTTTTAAACTTTGGGTGGAGGAGGCATCAAAGCGGGGTACTTCCATTCTGGGCATAAAATCAACTTTTCTGCTTATGGTATGAACCCCAGTTTTGGAAGGCTAATTTTCAGGGGACATGTGCGTGTGGTGTGTGAATAGGTACCAGACCTAGACTGATAGCTTTCCATAAAGAGTCAAAGGAGCTCACTCTCAGCAACTTACTAAATGGGTTATAAACAACGTTAAAATTTTCTGTTCTTTGAATAAATTACCTTCCTCCTGCTTTAAGGCAGGCTTGTCCAACATACAGCCCTTGGGCCACCATGCAGCCCTCCAAGCTGTTTTCTGAGGCCTGAGGTGCTGCGACAGGAAACGAAAGTAAACACTGTACTTTTGCGGGGGGGTGGTGATGTGATACCACTTCCTCTGAGGTCATTGAATATGGCTCGCCGATCCACTGGGTAATAAAAACTTCATGATCCGGCCCCACGTTCAAAAAGGTTGGACACCCCTGCTTTAAGGCGAACTGTGTTAGGCCCTTTTTAATATCGGTGGCTTGTCTCAGTGGGGTGTTTCTCTGAATCTGTAAAACAGCCATACGTGAAGTTTAATTAATTTACATTTAACTTATTCCATTCTGGCAGCTTCTGGATCAAATACCTAGTTCAAGGGCTTTTCTCCTGAGACACCTACTTGAGTGGTACCTGCTAGTTATTCACCTGCTGTAGACTTAGTGTGGACAGGTGCTCAGAGAAGGCCAGTGAGATGTATTAGATCACATGCAACCCACCTTCATTCTCAAAAAAGGTGCCAGAGTCCTTTTTTGAGTTTCTGTTTTAGGGAAGGCACTTAGTGATAGGTTGGGCTGTTTCTGCTTTTTTTTACCCTTTCTGTGATGTCGGAGAGACAGCATAGGGTGCATGTACAACCCCAACAGACACTGTTGGTAAAAAGGTTCTGGGT